AACGCTTCCGAGACGACCGCGGCAGCGTGGTCGAAGCGGTAGATGCGCGCCATATTTCCATAGAGGCCGACGGCAAACGCGAACAGGCGGTTGTGTGCGACAAGAAGATTACGCGTACTCTTGGCGAGCTGAATGAGAGTCTTTGTGCGTTCCCTGCTCGGCTGGCCTATGGGATCCTCCCCTGCGGTGGGCTTTGCCTCGAGGACGATGGCGAGGTGACGCCATCGAGGCTTCTTTAGCGAGTCGTGCTTGAAGCCGCCGATGAGGTCAGGCTTAGTGGCATGGTGTTCCTGGTCAAACTTTCCGAAAGGAAACCGGATGGGTGTGTTTGAGTTGTTGTAAAAGCTGGGCCGCTTCCTGTCGGGAAAGTCGGCGACGAGCTTGTGTAGCCCATCAATCTGCAAGGGAGTTGAACAGTTGGTCATTGTTGGGATAAGGTGCGCACTTTACTCACCTGTGGCTCATACATCTTGACCTTGGGCTCGCCGGATGGCATGATAAAAATGCTGTCGGCTGGGCTGGGACAATTGGGTACGGGCATCTCGCATGGGACGAAGCGACGAAGGAATTGTTTTGGGGAGGCACTGACGACGTGAACCTTGTCCTGGATCTCATGACTCCAAGCTTCTCTGTTCTTTTCATCTTTCTGCCGTGTCGCTTTCTTGTCTGTGTGTTGAGTGGTACCCTTTCTCTTACAGGGTGTTGACCGGTTGCCCATGCTGGAGGAACGGGAGTGGTTGATAGGTTTGGAGGTGGATGTGTAGCAACGGGTGAAATTGGAATTGGAGTGTATATATGAGGATGATTTGGATGACATGTCTGGTGGCTGAGGAGGATTGGCGAATTTAAGAGACTGAGAGTGTGGCAGGTTGATGAGTGTGGCGAAATACAGGGTTGGTGCCCGTGTAGCTTATGGATCAGCAAGTCAGTTGTGGCTCAAGAGGTGACGATGTAGAACAACGAACTCACCGTTTGCTTATTCGATGTGCGTTATATGATATTTCACAGCGATGTGGTTTTCCTGATCAAATACTCCGCCTAGATCCTAGCTGAGAGTAAGTGATTTGGTTATGTGGCTGCTTCGCTAACCTTTCGAAGCGGAACAGGTGCTACGACCTCGCCAATCATTCTGGCTGGTTCGTCAGTCGCGCCACCGCTTGGACCCTGCCAGACTTATCTTAGGGCTTAGACACGCATATCAGTAGCTCGCTTGCTATGAATGCCAGCCGTTGTTCAACACTAATAGTCGGTCTTATGCAGCTCATAAAGTATGCTCTTTCAATCAGAGATGGATTGCATCGCAGGATATGGTGCGTCTCTTTTCGTGAAGGCCACTTGGACTAATCGCCGTCGTTGATAACCTATAAGTTCAAAGTGTCGCTCTGTAGAATCCGAAGAGAATCAGTCAACAACCTGTCGTGGACCGTAAGCAATCACCGCACCTTACAGTCCGTTAGCATGTCAGTCCTCATCCGGCAGGAATGACCCCCTCATGGCCTCACTCCTAAAATCCTGACATCATTCAGTGTCGTACGAGGTGCTGTTTCCATGCATTGTATCCTTAAAATAATCACAGGCAATGCGGCGAACTGACATGGAGTTCCAGGAATATGCGCTTTACTCTGTTGATGCTTCCAAACTCCACGTATAGCGATTCCATGTCAAGTTAGTACATACGTACATACATAATCCTGGCAGATTGACGCGATATTCTACGATCCTGCCCCTCTATCGTGTCAGGCGCACTTCCGACCGCTTACATATTCCCTATAAATGGGTATGGTGCAGGAGCGAGGTTCTTAGAGCTTTTCCACCCCGTCATGGAGTTAAACCTGTCGCTGTGTGCATTACTACTGTGTTCGCTAGTTTGCATCATAGCCTTGTCCAACGGATCGCGCAAGTCAAACGTACGTGGTATGCCTATGCGACTACGAGGCCATGCACATTAATACTACGAGTAGCTGAGCCATATACCGACTGTGGGAGGGCCATCCTTGCCAATTTTGTCATACTATGGTACTATCAGGTACATTTTCCGTGCTCAGGAAATTATCAAGGAGGGGTATACAAAGGTGAGTTTGCATGAATCGTTGTAATTCAATTCAGACTGACACTACGTTGGTTATACTGGGTGTCTGGCATGTAGCACAAAGGCGGGATATTCAAGTATGCAGAATTGGGCCATTGGCGCGTGATTGTGACTGGACCAAAGTTGATCGACGACCTGCGCAAGGCTCCCGAAAATGTGTTGTCTAATTCAGAGGCCATACGTGAGGTCGGTTCTAAGAATGCTCACTAGCCTCGGAGTGCTGACCAACGAGTTGGGTCCTCGACAGATTGTCGGGTTGGATTATACACTCGGTCTAGACATTATTCACGATCCGTATCACATACCGATCATCCGCTCTCGATTTAAAGGCGATCTTGGAACCAGCCTCCAGGACGTCCGAGATGAAATTATTGCAGCATTGAATGATGAAATTCCGTCTTGCAGTAACGGTGCATTTGATTGTTTTCCCGAGTTCTGCACGGTTTTGTACTTACAAACAATGTCTCAGGGGAATGGTCTCATGTTCCCGTGGTGACAATGATTTGTGAAATTGTATGCAGGGCCAGCAACCGGATGTTCGTCGGGCTACCTACCTGTATGCATCACATTTTTCCTTCCACTGGTTTTGCTATTCTACTTACATGCGAACCGGATTTCTCCTCTGGATAGGCAGGGATCCAGACTACTGCGCACTGAATAAATCATTCGCACAAGATCTGATGGCCTGCGCAAAGGTACTCAGAATAACTCCAGGCTTCCTCAGACCGTACGTATATTCGGCTGCTTATGCACATGAATGTATCGCTAATGATTCAGTCCTGATTCAGGATTGCCACATATTTCTTGCCGGATCTGTCAGGGAAGATTGAGCGAGGCGTCAAGCATCTTGGACCCATGATATCGAAGAGGTTGCGGATGCTCGAAGAGTTCGGAGATGAATGGGAAGACAAACCAGTACGCCCGATATCATCATCTGACC